ATACAGGGGGGATAAATGCTGATGGGGGAAACAAAAAAATTGAAATATTATTTTCTTCTAATTAATAATATTTTGGTAGCGGTCATTTATTGAGCTCTTACAAATGCCAGCCCCTATATAAAATTTATTTCATATATACTCAAACTTTTAAAATCTCACAGCAATCATGAACCAGGTGCTGATCTTAGCTCTATACACTGTTTACAGATTAAAAAAACGGATGCACTGAAAGGTTAAGTAAATTTTTTGAGAACACAGCTAAGGAGTTAGGAAGCTGGGTTTACACCAGGTGGTCTGGTTTCTGATCCTGCATTCTTAACTGAAGAACATTTGGTAGAGACCTAACTTCGCTCATATTTTGTTTGTTATCTGATTGTTTTGTTATGTTTGCTAGCATTAATTAACCAACCAGATGACTCAACTTAGTTCTCAAAGTTTGTTAGCTAATGGGTGATTGTATGTACATCGCCCCGCCTACCACAGAGAGTTCTAGAGGCTCTTACAAAGTTTCAAAATGGCCCTTCCCAAGTCAGTCTCTCTCAGTCTGCTTATGTAAAATGAAGCAGATTGAAATATTTTGGCCTCAATCTCATTTGAAGAAATTTTTCTTTCCAGTGTAGCAATTAGTTTATCAGTATGACTAGTTAGTTGTTCTCTAATAATTGAATAAATCTTAATAGAATTTTTACCAAATGTCTTTTTTTTTAAATATTTTTATTTCAGAGAGGAAGGGAGAGGGAGAGAGAGATAGAAACATCAATGATGAGAGAATCGTTGATTGGCTGCCTCCTGCATGCCCCGCACTGGGGATTGAGCCCACAACCCAGGCATGTGCCCTGACTGGGAATCGAACTGTGACCTATTGGTTCCTAGGTTGAGGCTCTACCGTTGAGCCACACTGGCTGGGCCCAAATGTCTTAAAACCCCTTGGAAGACTACATTGTGGGGGTGGAGGGGCTGTGCTCCTCAGGTCACGAGCAAGCACTCTGGTATTTGGCAAGATATTTACTGTGTGATACTGGGTCCTTGAACCAGGTTCTGATCTTAGCTCTACCAGTAAATACCCCGCTGTTTGTTCTCAAGGAATGTGCTGAAAAATAAAATAAGCGCAGCAATCGGATAGGGCTGGACCCTAAAATAAGAGTTTTGTGTGAGAGGAAGTTTACATTTTAAATTTTATTCTGTGTATAAGGTGATATTCCTTCTGATGTGTATTATAAAATGCAACTTACTGATGTGAAATACAAATTCTCTTCTTCCTTCTCTGCCCTTACACACTCAGTTGCAGTATGAATTTATGCTAGTTTGGGGAATGCCTTCAATATTAAATTATTTAGAAGCATTCCTGTGGCTTTTAATATAATCAGTAGAGATATGACTTAACTCTCCATTTTTGACTAACTATTAGTAAAATAGTGAGCCAAAACCCGAGGGCAAGAAGTCAGTGTTGCAAGGAAGTAATCCATTCTTTCTAACTAGATCTGCTGTTTTGATTTGCTTTGTAGTATGTCTCTTTTGAGCCAACAACCATTCCTCTCACTGGTCCTTACCTGCCTTAAGGGACAAGATGAACAACGAGAAGGCCTCCTCATGTCTCTCCAGAATCAAGTTAATCAGGTAAAGTAGAGTAGAGTATGAAGCCAGGCAAGCGTTTTTCTAATGGCATTAATTTGTTTTCCTTTCAAATGCTGAGATTAAACCAATAAGGACACACCGTGATTTGATTAGATGCAGGTCGGCATAATTCACGCTCTATTCTCCTACCTGACATTCTAGTCACCACAAGATTAACAATTTTATATTAATGTCCACAGACTATAAAAGTAACATTTGCATATTTCACATAACTTGGACATGTCTGTTCTCTCCTGATCCTGCCTCAGGGGAGGGGTCCTAGACAAGTCCCTGTTGCAGTTGGCATGGCAGGAAGACAGAAATAGAGATCTGAGACCTAAGGGGTCTTCCACCTATCAGGCAGGGTCTCATCTTGAGCCTTGTAGGTGCAGAAACTCAATTTCATTTTACTGCCAGAGCCAGGATGATGCCAGTCAAGTACACAAGATACTCATTTATAAATCAGAAGTCATTTTGGTTCATTGATAAAGAATATGGACTTTGTCTTTCCAGCAACTACAGTTCCCCTTGCACTTGTATTGTCTGTACCACAAGGAAACTAGTGACCACATTAGAAACTGGAGATTGTGGAATTGAGCAGTGTGGTTGGGTGGGTCATGTGGGATGTTTTATCCTGCTGCAGAGCCTAATGGAGCCCTCCTGTGGTGCTGTGGTTCTATGACATCATGTCTTTTCCTTGAATGGTACTAGATGAACATGAACAAGGACACTTACTTGGTTCTCCCATTGTCTTCTACCTTTTGGATATGAGAAATCTATCCTCTACACAGTCACCAGAATAATCCTTTTTAAATGTGAATCACATTTCTTTGGTGCCCAAAATGCTGCAATCATTCTTGCTACACTTAGAATAAAGATTCAAAGCCTGGGCTTATAAGGCCTTAGTGATTTGGCACTGGCTCTCATTCTACCTTTTTTCCTACCAGCCATGGCCTAGCTCACTCCATTCTTTTCACAGTGGCCACATTGCTGGTCCTCAAACAAATTGTCGTTGCAGCACCTTTGCATCTTTTCTTCCCTTCACCTGGAAGGCTTTCCTCTCAGATGTGCACATGGTTATCTCCCTCACTTCATCAGGTCTCTGCTCACAGGTCACCTCCTTCAGGAGGCTCTCCCTGATCACTCTCTAAAAATAGAACGACGGTCATTCTCTATCCCCTGGCCCAAGTCCATACCACTTGTTACACCTGATTTTTTATTATTCACTAGAGGCCCGTTGCACGAAGAGATTCGTGCAATAGGCCTTCCCTTCCCCTGGCTGCCGGCACCGGTTTTCCTCTGGCACCCGGAACCCAGGCCTTCCCTCCGGCCCGGAGTCTTCCATCTTCGCTCCGCCGCTTTGCGCCTATGTATGCAAATTAACCACCATCTTTGTTGTGTTAATTTGCATACTCTCCTGATTGGCTGCTGAGCATGGCAGAGGGACGGTCAATTTACATGTTTGTCTATTATTAGGTAAGATCCTGCCCCTTGAATGTAAGCTCCATGGCAGCTTGTGTGCTTTGTTACCTGCCTTGCACCCTTATCTCGCCTGGGAGAAGTCCATTTCTTTTGATGAGCTGTGTAAAGTGTTCTCCTCTTACCCTGCAGGATACTTACAGGTCATCTGCTGGGCTTACTTGTGCATGTGACTCATTTCAACTATTTTAAGATGGTTCTCATTAGTTAACACATATTTCAGAGCATGGCAGTATGAGATTTTTTGGGGGGGGCGGGGTATGCATTTGTTTTTGCTCCTGACATCTGATCCTGGGGTGTTGCCCACGTGCAGTTTGCCCTTCCTAAGAACACTTTCCTTTCCCAGCATTAGTCTGAATCAGGGAAGAAGCACTCACTTTACAAGTGGATATGCCACTTGACTAATATCCAAATTGTCACATTTTTTCAAAATAGTATGTATTATCTTTATCAAGGAAGACAAGTCTATAAAATGACAAGATTCCACTTCAAAAGAACACTAAAATAATACTAGTACATTTGCTAGGGTTCACAGCGTGTCCCTAGAAATATAACCCAGAGCTGATATAAAATGTTATTTTATCTGCCTAATACTTATCTTTATAAGACAAATGAAATGATGTAATGATGTATAGTTGACCCTTGAGTTGCATAGGGTTTAAGGGCACCGACCCCAAGACAATAAAAAATTTATATAACTTTTGCTTTCCCAAAACTCCAGTCATCCTCCTGGTATTCAGAAACCAAAACCTGAGAATGCTCCAGTCCCTTATGGTGAAGAACAATCTGCAAATTTCCAACCTCAGATAAAAAAATACTGTTTCTCAGATGTGAAACCCGTATTTATAGAGGGGCTGCCTGTATATTTACTGAAAAATCCATGTGTAAGTGGACCCGCACAGTTCAAACCCATGATGTTCAGGGTCAACTGTATTTAAAAACTGATCTTTATTTTTGTTAATGTTTAACTTGATGGTCCTCTAAAAACGTTTTCTAAGACTACTGGATAAGTAATTAGAAAAGATTTTTCTTCTCCCATCTGGAAAGGTAATGACAAAGAAATAGCCAGATTTCTGTCTGCTTAGTGGAAGGCGAGGAAAGTTTTATTTAATTTGTTAAACCAAGAAGTTATTTTTGACCATCAGTAAAAGCTCAATTTAACTTAAAATATGAAAAATTTAATTTTAACAGGGGAAACCAGTTCTGGATTTTTTTTTTTAATGTATTGTCTGGTTTAGATCTTAAGTAATTGGAGAGAAGAGCGATACCAACATGACATAAAAGCACGGCAGATGATGCACGAAGCATTGCAGCTCCGCCTGAATTTGGTAAGACATTTCCAGTCTTTTGCCTGCGTAAAACTTATCTTACATAGCCTCCCACTTCCACTGTCGTCACAAGTCTTCATTGCAAGGTGAGGCCTCTGCTGTTTGCTCTCTGTGGCTACTTCCCTGTCCCTCTAACCTTCCTGTTTTCCTGGCTGCTGTTCTTCCTGTCTGGCCTAACTTCCGGACAGCAGTAGGTAGGTATTTTAGGCTCCGGTTTGCCTTCTGCAGCCCCGCCCCCAGGGAATCTCTCCTTTTGGGTGTGAGCTCAGAGGAGGACTTAGAGGACCAGTATTCTGAGATGGAAGTTAGTTTTGACTATGCTTATTTAAAAACCATATTAAAATGACATTTAAGTCAAAATTATCAAATTGATCATAAAAACAAATTCTACATGGAAGGTTTTGTTTTTCAGAAATTTAAAATTCTCACACATTGAACATTCCTTTGAATTTTTCTTTCCCACTGGACAAGCCAGCTTAAGGGCACTCTGGGGATATTCACTGATTATTGATTTCAACTGAATTTCCACACGTGAAAGAGTAGACCTGGGGGCCATGCCTCCTGCTCATCATTACTTCTGTGTTACTGGATAATTCTGAGTGCTATTATGACAACAGGCTTAGATTCAATAGTAATTGACAGCACAAAGTTGTAAATAATTGGATTATGTGGTTTTGACCTATTTAGATGTAATTTGACTAAAATCACACCATAAAAGAGGGTATCCTGAACGTTTAGGAATAAAAGAAAGCTAATTATACTGACTTATAGTAGTAGCAGTAGTTATATGTAGATTTTCTACTAAGAGGAAGGTCATTGTCCCTAAGCCTCTGCATTTTCAAGGATCAGCTGTCACGGGTCAGCTGTAATTCCTATTGATGATGTGCCCACACTCAGGTGCTCTTCTCTTCTCTCTCTCTCTCTCTCTTTTTTTTTTTTGAGGATTTTCTTTAATTAATCAAAATTTGGCTAAAGTATATTTTTCTCTTTAACACAATGCAGATTTTTTTATTGTATTTTTTTATGTACTAGGTGGGAGGAATGTTTGACACAGTGCAGAGGAGCACCCAATGGACCACAGACTGGGCCCTCCTCCTCCTTCAGATCATTACTTCTGGAACCGTTGACATGCACACTAACAAGTATGTACTTATCATTTTACCTTTACTTTGCTGCACGTGTACATGGCAGAGGCTTTGATATACTGATGTTAATTTCTGTCGCATCTTATTTTCTTAGGTACATTCTATGCCTTAAATAAAAATTCTCAGTTAAGATTATCTTGGTTTTGCTCTGAGGTGAAAATAATTCTTTTCTGTCCCCTCTTAGTGAATTATTCACAACAGTTCTTGACATGCTGGGTGTTTTAATCAATGGAACATTAGCCTCTGATCTGTCCAACGCATTGCCAGGGGGATCTGAAGAGAACAGACGTGCATACATGAATTTAGTAAAGAAACTGAAGGCAAGTTTGTGACCTGCTTATTATGAACTCACATGGCTTGTGGGTTTGTTATTTAGTACATTTTATCTAATTTTACTCCTCGTTAAATTAAATGTTATTTGTTGCACTCAAATTAATTTAATGTGATTATTTTGCTCTTTGCTTTACCTTAGCTCACTAGAACCCCAAAGTAGTAAGCATATAGTTTGAAGGTTTGTCTTTTAAAAAAATTTATATTCATAAAGCATGTTTAATTTTTTAAGGAACTTTAGAAATGCATTACCAAATATCTAATCAGAGTACCAGCATCAGATTTAAGATACATTTGTGCTTGGACTGGAACATGCAGTTGAAAATAATCACTTGTACTGATATATCTAAATCCAATTCATTTTACTAACCACTAACACAGTTTTGAAATAAACTATAAGTAAACTGCATAAGAGAAAAAAATCAATATATCTGATGACCTTACAGTAAAATAACCAATGGTTACCTTGCGCTGTGGCCCTGCATTCGAGAACGTGTTCCGTGCTGCAGCTCCTGCCTTCTCGTTACAGTTGCTGTCCTAGATTTTGTCATTTCAGCATTGTGATGTTTGTTGTGTAACAAGCGTGCCTTTTTATGTGTTCTATTTTCTACCTAAAATGAAGAAATGAAACATACTCACCACTCTAATTGAGAGTTGCAACGTAGACCATGTTTCAAGTGAAAGAACATTTCAGCTATATAATGGAAATGTTTCATAAGGGAACTTCCTTCTGGGCAACTTTTGCCTTCATTGTAATTTCTGTTCCACTTCTCTTTTTCTCTCTCTCTTATTTTTTTTTTTTAGAAAGAGCTAGGAGACAAGCGGTCAGAAAGTATTGATAAAGTTCAACAGCTGCTGCCTTTGCCAAAACAGACATGTGATGTCATCACTTGTGAGCCTATGGGTTCCTTGATCGACACAAAGGGAAACAAAATTGCTGGGTTCGACTCTATAGATAAAAAACAGGCAAGAGTAAAGTGTTTGTTTCTTGTGTATATAACTATGTGTTAATCTTACAAAAACAAAATACAACTTTTTGTCTTCCTGTAAAGCATATAAAGCATTTTAATTTTACAGTTTCCTGTTTTTTAAATGCATATTTTTATCATTTAATGGTTATTGGCATTATAATAAAAGTTAAATCTTTCAAGATCTTTACTTAAAATTGTACTTGAATTTAAGTGAATTTCTTAAATTCAACAATAGAAAACTAAAAAGCTTAGTGTAAAAAACAACAACAAAAGATCAGCTGTAATTTTACTTCAGAATTGGAAACAATACGTTTAGATAAGAATTTTTGTTGCTAAAAGTCTTTATGTAGTAAAACTATTTTGAGTAAAAATGTTTAAAGTGATGATACTTTATTTTCATATCAATTAAACAATATTTAATGAACACTTGATTTCATATAAGATATTAAGCAGGGTGTTCTTATAATACAAGAAGAGTGGTCCATGATTCTTTCAGTGAATGTGAACAACCACAGATTTCCAAAATCACAGAGATGGAAGACAGAGCGCCTACCCTCTTAGTAGTAGATAGACAGAGTATGGTGAGGTTTGTGTGTCATGCTGCACAGTGTTAGGGACCCTGAGAAGGAGCCATCACACTCAGATGGCAAGTAAATAGTTGGAGCAGCATCCCCAGGAAAATCGACATGAATCATTTTGAAGGATTAAGAGTTAGCTGGGAGGTAGGGGAAAATGTAGTACAGGCAAAGGGAAGGATTTATGCAAAGACACAAAAAAGGTGGCTCATTGAACTGCAATGCAGCAGTAACTCGGAGTACTTTAGGTGCTTACCACATTGGTGCATTGTGGAGAGAAAGAGCTAGAATCATGGGCAAGTTGAGTTTGTAGTGCTGGTGGGCTCTCTAATGGTGAGACAGGTATAAGCCATTTGGAGATGTGGTCTTGGCACCCAGGAGAGAAGTCTAATCTCAAGACATATTAGGAAGCAGTCAGTATGCAGATGGTACTGAGCCTTGGTTCTGGATAAAGCTGCTCATGGAAGAGTGTGTAGGTAAGAGGGCATAGTTATGGAATGCCCAAGTAATTATTTTGGGGTTCATACTGAAGAAAAGTATTTTCAAATTGCTATGCCAGGGAAAGTACCAAGGGACATTACCAATTAATGTTAAAAATAAACTTCTTATTTTCAGAAACAAAATAACATTTTCTCCTCTGAACTCCGTAGAGATGAGCTTGAATTGAAGGAGTTTATTTCTACATGTTGGTAAAGTTAATTCTGTAATAAAATGACTTAACTATGGCTTATTAAGTACATGAAAGGTGCCCATATTGAATCAAGTCCACTCATGTTTGGATTAAAGTTCATTTGAGCCCAATTAGAGGTTGAATGTTTCTTATCCTGAAAACAATAAATGGATTCCAAAGATTTATAACTGATTATAATTTAGTATAGTAAGATCAACTTTATAGCATTTCTTAGAAATTATTTTTTTGCTAACAAAAGAAAACTACATGAAAAAAATGCCATTGTACAATAAACTGTATCTATGGAGCTCAGTGGTAGAGAGAACCATAGAACTGTGGATTCTAGCCAGCCCACCGGTGATCTGTGTGACCCTGGACTGATTAGTTAGCCTGTCTGCTCTATGCTAAGTTCTTGCGAAGGCCCACACCAGCCAAAATGTTCTCTGAATCCATGTCCTAAGCAAGCCTGACCCTAATCAGAAAAAGGTCTGAGGGTGTGGTCATAGAGTGTTATTTTGCCACAGGGTCTCCAGGTCTCTACGAAGCAGAAGGTGTCCCCCTGGGATTTGTTTGAGGGTCAGAAGAACCCAGCTCCTCTGTCCTGGGCCTGGTTCGGGACAGTCCGAATAGACCGGAAGGTGATCAAGTATGAGGAGCAGCACCACCTCCTTTTGTACCACACACACCCTATGCCCAAGCCCCGAAGTTACTACCTCGAGCCGCTGCCCCTGCCTCCCGAGGAGGAAGAGGAAGAGCCCACGTCTCCCATTTCTCAGGAACCAGAGAGGAAATCAGCTGAGCTGTCAGATCAGGGAAAAACCACAACTGATGAAGAGAAGAAAACAAAGGGAAGGAAGCGCAAGACAAAATCAAGCTCAAGAGTTGATGTAAGTGCAGGAAGTAGAGGGAACTTATACGCAAGAGCATCCAGTAGATTTAGTGTCCAACTTATAGCCCTAGAAGCACTGCTAAAAGCAGTAAAAACCTTTTTTTTTTTGGTAAGAATTATCCTAACGAGGCACATAATGAATAGAATTAGGATCATAGCTTTTGATTTTTCTTCCTCTACTTTTTATAACTGTTTAATTTTAAGCTTCCATTGTGAATCATCCTATATAATAAAACACTAATACGCAAATTGTCCCCTCGGGAGTTCGACCTACTGGGAGTTCGACCGCTCGCTATGACATGTGCTGACCACTAGGGGGCGACGTGGAACGAAGGAAGGCCCCGGCCGGCAGCCGGAAGACCCCGATCAGCCCTGATTGCCAGCCAGGCCTGGGGACCCTACCTGTGCACGAATTTCGTGCACCGGGCCTATAGTATTTAATATTTCAGTGCCTCATGATTTCTCAGATTTGAAACTTGAATTTTTCAGACTTATAAAATCTCATCCTCTCACGTATTTTTATTATAAGCTGTCTTTAACATAGTTATTGTATTTTCGGCAATTGATAGCCATAGTATATTAAAATAAAATAAAAACACTCTATTTGGTCTTCCCTAGATAACTCTCCATCTAATATATTGAATAGGATGTTCGTGAGATTTCATATTCACCACTTCACCTTCCTCACCTGTGTATTCTACTTCTCTATCATATTTCCAGACTTTATAAAAGATAACATAAACATGATGTAGTTTCACTTCTTGTTTGCCTACTAGACTTCCCTATCTGTAGCAACATTTTCTTAAAAACAACAGAAATCTATGAGGTGGTAATTTAAAATAATTTTATAGAACTTACAGAATTAATATATAAAAATCTTTCCATTTAGCTGAAAAATACTTGAGAAACAATTTGAGATTATTTTTCTATGAAATTCAAAGGTGTTCTTACTGTGCAGTGGAAAAAATATGCACAATGTAGTGTTTAGACACCATGATTATTTGATGTTATTGTTTACCTATGTCAAAGCCAAAACATGTCTTTGTCAATTGGATAGTTTGGTGATTATTATTCTAGAAATGATCACTATCACTTTTAGATGTCACTTGAGTGTCAGTGTCATCTTTCATACAGTCTTCCTGCCAGTATTCCTTTGTCTTGAAAGGGGTACTTAATAAGGTCCAGATTGCCATCCCCTGAAATCTGGGTTTCCCAGCCTGTCCAGCCACGGGGATGGATTTCTGTTCTTTTTAGCTGCAAAAGACCTAAAACTTATCTCATTCCCCAAGTGAGTCTTGGTCATTTCTTCACCTCCCACACTACTCCTGAGACTGCCTCTTCCCGATGGGATGAAGTGCAGGCTGTACTTTTCTGAAATTTTATTTTCCCTTTGTCCTTTAGAGCTAGCCTAGACCTGTGACCCTTAGAGCCTTTTGGCTGCTGTGAGGAAGAGGAAGCCCTGTTGGGAGATTGGGGGGTGGGAGGCGGGAGTGGAAGTGGTTGTGTTTGCAGGATGGCGATGGAGTCTGCTCTTGCAGAATACTGGCCTGAAAACTGGGAATAAGATCCTGTCCGAGCCGGGCCTGGCTCTGAACTATTGAGGGCCTGTGGCAGGAATCTGAGCTTCACCCCAGGCATCAGCAAGGCCTTTGGGAGACTTTGCAATTACAAAGACGCCCTTTCAGCTGTGGTTGGCAGTCAATATCAATATTTTAAATGTGTTTTTAGTATTTTAAAATGAAGTTTAGAAAAGATATTTTTTTTCCATCTCCCTCCACTGTAGCCAGGTTCTTTTTAAATTAACGAAAAGTATTCACTAAGTGAGTGTTTTGCAGAGAATATATTGAGACTTCTGCCTTCCATCTCTCCCTTTATAAAATAGCCTTATCTACTGGGAGAGGAGTTATCTCAAATAATGTGATAGGAAGAATTTGCATTCATTTCCTATGTGGTGTGTGGAGTTAAGTAACTTTTTGTTTTAACTTTATGTTGAAGGAGTATCCACAGAGCAACATATACCGAGTGCCTCCTAATTACTCACCCATCTCCTCCCAGATGATGCATCACCCACAGTCTGCCTTGTGGGGCTACAACCTCATGGGGCAGCCCCAGCAGCCTGGCTTTTTCCTGCAGAGCCCATCTCTTACTCCAGGTACGTGAAGAGAGCAGAGTCGGATCCTCGAGATGACAAGTGGCTTGGAGTTCTCACTTGGGGTTTTCCTTGCTTTTAACCTGAAACCTCCTTAAAACTTGGAAGTTTCAAGAGCTGAGTGCTCAGCTGACATTTATAGAATTCTCTCCATTCAACGTGTTACTTCTTCTTCTAAAATAAGGTTTCAGTTATGAGTTTGTGGGCTGATTTTGGAGTTTTCATCCAGTGCTGGGAGGAAATTAGCCACTGATGAAAATCTTAAGCTATCTATAATAATAAAAGCGTACTATGCTAATTAGACTGGATGTCCTTCCGGATGACCTTCTGGATGAAGCCCAGGTCCCGGGTGCCATAGGGAAGCTGGTGCCGGCAGCTGGGGGAAGGAAGGTCTACTCTGGCACGTATTTTGTGCATTGGGCCTCTAGTAAGATATAAAGTTGATCAAAGTTTTATATTATGAAATTTGTGTACATTTTTATCAAATATAGTTACCAGCATTTAAAAAGACTAGACAGTATTGCACAGTGTCTTTTATTGTTTTCTCATGTTTTGAACTTTAAATTGTGTATACCATGGATTTCAGAAACCTGGTTCAGCAAGTAGATTTAGATACGATCAACAAGGAAAACTGCCATATCCAGAGTGGATGTTGCTGATTTGGGTATTGCTCTGATTCAAGCTCAGGTAGATTTTATATATGGAGTGAAGATTTTCCAAATACAAAATTTCTTAATTAGGAAAGGATTTAATTTTCTTTCTAAAGGAAAGTTTGCCTATTCTAGCAAAATAGATTATTTTTGAGATCTCAGTCTGCATTTTGTTAGGATGTGTCTTTCTAATATATCATATTTTACTTATTGTGCTCCGCGGGATAGTGAATTTTTTTTATTGTAAGTTGAGTATAACATTTTTGAGGTTTAGGGAAGAAGAAGATATCTGATTCTTGGCTTAGAGCAGTGGAGAATCCACAGTTTGTCCCATAAATTAGTGGCATAGAGAGCTGTTCTGGGTGTTACAGTTCTAAGTTACAGTCTCGCTCTATCACTTTCTGCTGTATAATCTTGGCCAAGTCCTAATTACTTTGTGCCTGATCATTTTACAGCTTGATCATTTGTAAAGTGGATATGCTGATATATACCTTCATAGGATGGGTGATTGAAAGTAAATGTTTAAAAGGTAGCACTCAGAAGGTAACCTGACACAGCAGACATGTTAAGTAAATGATCTGAATACATTCTCACGGCAGGGCTGTTGCACCTGCTGGGCCCCGTGCTGGGAATGCTCTCCCTCAGACATCTGCATGGCTCAATGCCTCCTTTGGGTTTGGTCAGACCCCACTTTCTCAGTGAGCTTGCACTGACCACCCTACACTCTGTCCCCCTCCCCCTCTTTCTGTTTCTCCATGGCAACAGCGCTTGCTTAAGTGCTACATGTTCACTTACCTGCCTGCCCCAGAAGGTCAGCTCTGTGAGGGCAGGGGTTTTTCTGTTATGTTTACTATAGTGTCCCCAGAACTTACAGCAGCATGTAAGCAGGCTCTCAAAGGAGGTTGTTGAGTGAGTAAATGCAGACTACAAAGAACAAGCTAGACTTCGTGGTAAATGTGGAAAATAATACACAATTGCCATCTCCTCTGATTTTCTCTTTAATTCCAAGGTCCTTGTGAACTTTGTAGCATTTTCAACTTTGTCAACAACAGAGTCCAGCACAAGGACTGTATGAATAGAAGGCTCAGTATATTGTAAAGCCGCACACCCTTTCACCCTAGAGTGTTATAGAAGGTATTTGTAAGTTGGGGAATTTGGGTATTAGGTAAGTCTTAGGCATGATGATATGATGACATGTAAGAAAAATATGTGAAGTAAACAACTACTTATGAGCATTTTATATCTGTGAAATAATAGAATTTCATAAAAATGTGAATCCTATGAAATTGAGAAAGAGTATGTACAACATGTTTCCATTTATATACTATATAGTTAAAACGCAAAACAGTGTCCACCCACACACACACACCTCTACCAATCTCTCTCTTTTTCCCCTGTATACACGCCAGTATGGTAAATTTATAAGGAAATGTGTATGAATAATAAACATCAAATTTAGAATAACATTCAATAGGAGAAGGGGAGGAAAGTAACAAGGCTTCAAACATATTTATTATATTTATTTTCTTAGTTGATTCAGAGGTATAACATAGAAAAGTTAGGAAAAATAAAAGAAAGTAGACCGTAGTCTAATCTTTAAAAAGTATGTCTCTTATCCATAAAATGAGTCAATTACATTTTATATATTAGTTCGCATTCTTGCTTCGCAAAGTTACTTTGCCATATGTTACTCAAATCAACTATCCATTTTTCCCACAAATGATCTTCAAATGCTGCTGAATTACTTATTAAATCATATCTCTGATTGTGATACTGAGTGTATAAAAGAATGTGGGTTTTTCGAGAGAACAGCTTTCAAATTTTTACCTCTATCATATTACTTGCTCTTTGTGAGGTCTTTATATAGACATTTTCTTATTCATGTACATTAAAGAATGTTGTAGACCATGTGGCGAATGAAGGGTTAGCACCTACTTTGAAGTCAGCCAATGTTGAATTTTTTTCCCCTTGAACTCTTAAAGACATTTGGCAAATTACATATGCAAAATGTTAAGGATTTTCTTTGGTTTCTTCAGCATCACTATAATCAATATTTCCTGTTTATTTTATTTCTAGCCTTCAAAAAGGTGTGTTCTATCTTTAGAATCAAGGTATTTGAAGTTTCCAAGCATTTCCAGTTTTTTAAGTATTTTTAAGCATCTCTACTGTAAGATAGGCATTTCCCTTAAGTACTATGAGCTTCCAATTGTCTAAATTACAAAAGGATTTCTAGGCCTGGCTTAGGACACTTGGCAAACGTAATACAATTTATGCAAGAAATATGTTCCTGGGAGCCTTCCATAATTTAAAACCCATGTGATTCCCAAAGTACGCCGGCCACTGTTTCAGGCATGTCACTTTAGCAGTTCAGGTGGGCCTTCGTGAGGCCGTTCAAATGTTATAATTGCTCCTGCACCACCCTCCCTATCCTGTGAAAATTCTGCAGTTCTTGTATAGGGTGGGATGGCACCTTATGTTCCATTTTGCTTCATAAAGTGAGGCTCAGAAGGTGAGGTGTCTACATTTTAATCAAATCAGTAGGAACTGCTGCATCAATGTATAGAAAGCCCTTCCTTCTGGTTGCTTTGTAGGTGGCTCTAGACTGGACCCCACAGGCTCCTTTGTCCCTACCAACACCAAGCAAGCCCTGTCGAACATGCTGCAGCGGCGCTCCGGCGCCCTCATGCAGCCGCCCTCGTTGCACGCCATCACGTCGCAGCAGCAGCAGCTGGTCCAGATGAAGCTCCTGCAGCAGCAGCAGCGGCTCCTCCGGCAAGCCCAGGCACGGCCGTGCCAGCAGGTGTGTCCAGGCCAGCAGAGATCCTCTGCGCCTCGTGGTTTTCTCTAGCTAGGGTGAGCAAGGCCTGTGTGACATGTGCTTCCTGCGTGCACACCCTGTGTGCTTGGTGAATGCAGGTATCTCTTTCTTACACAGGCTTAGAAATACTGTTCTCTTTGATCAGATAAGAACTCGAAATGTCTTAGGTTCATTTAAAGCAGGGGTGGGGAATGTCCGGCCTATGGGCTGTATAAGACCAGCAAAATCATTTGGTCTGGCCCTGCAAAGGCATTAGGGGGGAGTTAATTAAATGTTTGCCCAAATATAACAGGCTAATTTTTAAGTTGATACTCTTGTATGGCCCCCGAGTGATGTCATAAATATCCAAATGGCCCTTGGCAAAAAAAAGGTTCTCCACCCCGGACTTAAAGGATGCCTTAAAACACAAAGAAGAACTGATGACTTTCTAGTCCCTTAGATGCAGCAGGACTGTCATCCTGGAAGTGACCTTCTCTGAGCTCTCATTCAGTATTTAATTATCACCACATTCTGTACTTTCAGGTATTTAGCTCTACTTTCATGTATTATTATTCCATTTACTACTTTGAGGTTGAGTCTCTGAAGCCTATGTTTCTTAGATTTTCTCCTACAATGCCCTGAGCAAATCCTGTGTTTTTTAAAAATATATATTTTTATTGATTTCAGAGAGGAAAGGAGAGAGAGAGATAGAAACATCAATAAGGAATGAGAATTGTTGATTGGCTGCCTCCTAGAGCCCCCTACTGGGGATGGAGCCCAAAACCCAGGCATGTGCCCTGACCAGAAATCGAACCATGACCTTCTGGTTCATAGGTTGACATTCAACCACTGAGCCACACCGGCCGGGCCAGATTCTGTTTTTATTGCATACTTAATGAGGAGTACAGCAGAGAAAGAATGCATTGCAAATAACTGTCAGTATATGCTTATCTTTAAAGTAATTCTTGATTTATATTATTTCTATTTTTATGCCCTATAACCCATTATCTTTAACTTTTTAGATGACCATGATTATTAGAATGCAGAAGTAACACAGAATTTAGTATAGACTCATAAAACCACGAATCTATACAAATACATAAAACAAAAAGAGGGAAGGGAAATTGTGACTTCTTTTTCTAGTTTCTATATACTTTTTGTGTTCAATTTTTCTTGAAATTGTACTATTTTGATGACGGTGATGATAGTAATAATACTAGTTAGAAGCAGCTAACACTGATGGAGCACTTATTATCTGGCAATACACTTCCAAGCACTTAAAAATGTATTAGTTATCTTAGATCTCACGGCAGTCCTATGAGTTGGGCATTGTTGTGATCCTCAAAGGATGTAGCCAATCGTCAGATGTATCCTGCTCTAAGAAAAATCACAAAACTTTCAAAGCAAGGAATTCTAATGTTTTAAAAAATATTTTTGTATTTTCATAACTTTCTACACATATCTCCATACTGCATTCCGCCCACTTCTGCATAGGGTATTGGGGTTGGGAGGGTTATGCATTCTTAAAAAAGCTTTCTTTTCTTACCTGTATTATAAAGACAGGAAAGAGGAAACTAGTTGAACTGCGTGAGAATGCAAACAACAGTCACTACAGGCTTGTCTGTACCCGACCTCTAGTGATTTAAATTCCCTGGGTGTCAGGCAAGATGGGCTTAAGCTGCTTCATACACAGATATTATGAAGATTTGATTAAAATATTAAAAAGCTTTGATTTTGCTTAAATAAGCAACATGTTTGGAACCATTAAAAATCTCAGTGGTATATTAGCTTTGTTGGAGATGATTGTTTCATTTCTTACCAAGATAAATTAAAATTTTACTGTAAGTGAGTAACCAGCCCACTAAGATGAATTTAGCTCCCTTTTAAAGTAATGTAAGCCTAAGTAAAATTTGCCTTCCAATAAGTTTATTTAGTTTTTCATGTCTACCTTTTTATCACAAGTTATAATTTGCCTTATTAATAACACACTTTCAAATGATTACTGCTAAATTCAGTTTTGAATTTATCTAAGTGGTTCCTAGTATTGCGAAAGTAGTAAAGCTCAGTGGGCAATTTCTAGGTAAACATACCTTTCCTCATGTAAGCCATGGCAAGCAATTTCCCCTAAAGTAATTTTTAAAAAGGAATTTAAAAGAATAAAAAAATAATGTGAGTGTAATGAAAGATATCCTTGTATATTTGGAGAAGGCAGGCTTAAGACCCAGCATGTACCCAGAGGACCCCATTACTCCCACACTTTCCTCTAACCACTAAAACTACCTGACTCAATTCCATCACACTACCTAGAGTTACACTGCTTGTACCAATAGTAATTAACTGAGAGTTCATTTTTTTTTCTAACTTATTTTATTGTACCAACTCTGTCACACTGTTGGATTTTTCTTTTTTCTTTTTTCTTCTTTATTTTCTTTTGAGAAATCAGGAATCCCTCCTTCAAGTAGTAAAAGCTCAACCTCATAATACTGATTGTATAATACTCCCTTCCCTCCTCCCCCGTATTCTTTTTTAACAGTTGAAACTTGCTTTAGAGTCTGTGAAGGGCTTTCGGAAACATATACACTTTTTTTCTCAATCCCCATTCTTAAAGTGCTGGATAACTGAGCAAAACAGCATTCTTATAAGGAAGAGAATTGCACACATGGTACAGTCATCGGACATAGTGGTCCTTCGTGGAGTAAATGAGATGTGTCTGTGGCATCTGCGAGAGTGCCTGCACCTGCCAGGGTCTCTCCTAATAGGTCATGTGGTTATTGTGGCAGAAAAATTCTTGTGCTAATCCTTAAAAATCTAGAATAAAAACAGAATTATATGGAATATATTGGATATTGTTAAATTGTTTATTATATGATTCTGGATGCAATTAGAATCCAGAATTTTTTTTGGATATATTTATTTTTCTAATAAATAGTGACCTCTGTTCTTCATGAGAGGAAATGATAGGGAAATATTGAAACTAATTTTGGCAGGAACATTTTCTCAGGTTACATGCCTTCTCATAATGTGACTCTCTAGCTACATAAGAACTCTTATGGTGTGTTTTTCTTTTAGTTTGGGGCTTATAGGGAAATTAAAATTAATATAATTTTTCTTATTAACCTAGCAGTTTTCTAAGTACAGAAATCCATTTTCTTAAATGTAGCAAATGTGTTGGAGAATTTCCATTTATCTCAACTTTTAAGACTGATCTTATAATTATAGAAGATGCTTTTTTTTTTTTTTAGTGTCACCCAAGGATATATTTATTGATCTTAGAGAGAGAGGAAGGGGAAGGGGGAGAGAGAGTGAGAAACATGGATGTAGAGAGAAACATTGATGGGTTGCCTCTTTTTTAAAAAATATATTTTATTGATTTTTTACAGAGAGGAAGGAGTGAGATAGAGAGTTAGAAACATTGATGAGAGAGAAACATCGATCAGCTGCCTCCTGCACACCCCCTACTGGGGATGTGCCCGCAACCAAGGTACATGCCCTTGACCAGAATCGAACCTGGGACCCTTGAGTCCGCAGGCTGACGCTCTATCCACTGAGCCAAACCGGTTAGGTCAATGGGTTGCCTCTTGCAGGCATCCTGACCAGGGATTGAACCTGCAATTTTTTTGGTGCATGGGACAACATCAGCTGAGCCACCTGGCCAGGCAGCAGATGCTTTTAAAGATTGACTAGTGTCCCCAAGCCTTGGATATGACTGTTCTCTAGGCCAGTTGTCTGTGACTTCCTTGGTCCCCACCCTCTTCTTCTAAGATCAGGTACTGGGGCCCTAACTGGTTTGGCTCAGTGCATAGAGCGTCGGCCTGCGGACTGAAGGGTCCCAGGTTCGATTCCGGTCAAGGGCATGTACCTTGGTTGTGGGCACATCCCCAGTAGGGGGTGTGCAGGAGGCAGCTGATCAATGTTTCTCTCTCATTGATGTTTCTAACTCTCTATCCTTCTCTCTTCCTCTCTGTAAAAAATCAATAAAATATATTTGAAAAAAAAACAACAACAAAGATCAGGTACTGGGTTTTAAAATATTTTGTATCACCCTGAGCACAGGGTAGAAATCTATGAAATGTTTATTGAGGAAATTCATGTTTTTGAGCAGCTGTTTTCCAAAGCCTAAAGCAGCGGTTCTCAACCTGTGGGTCGCGACCCCTTTGGGGTTCAAATGACCCTTTCACAGGGGTCGCCTAAGACCATCCTGCATATCAGATATTTACATTATGATTCATAACAGTAGCAAAATTACAGTTATGAAGCAGCAATGAAAATAATTTTATGGTTGGGGGTCACAACATGAGGAACTGTATTTAAAGGGCCAGAAGGTTGAGAACCACTGGAAAGCTTCCTGATAGTCTTACTCCTTAGCAGTCTGATTATTATCTACAAACTCATCTCATTGCTCCCCGAAACTGCTCCCAGCAGTGACCTGCTATGATTGTTTTGAAAACCTAGATGGGGCAGGGAAGACATAAATTCCTGGTTTCTGGATGTGTCTCAGAACTTGCGGAGTCCCCCTTAGCCTCCTCCCATCTGAGGAGCGAAGTTGATGTATGTAGGAATTATTTAGTCTAGACATGGTGCACAATGATGTTCAGAGCACCATTGTAAAGTAATGAATTCTGCTGCAGACAACGAATAGCAGCTCCAGCTGGTCGTGGAATTTCCTGTTAGAGACCACCCTTTATTTCGTCAGGAATGTATTGAGACATTTGGAGAGTGTCTAGAAAATAGGTGCAAATAGCATGGATGTTGTTGGGTATTTTTAATCAATTTATTTGACATAATGATTGTTATATAATCAAGTGTATTTTCATATAGCTTTAGTCTTATCAACATGCATAAAGACATTTTGGGAAGAAAACTTGTATTCATTCTTCTTAATTACAGTCTTGACTTGATTACTCTTCATTCCTTATCTGTCCCTTATTAAAATGGGGCTCAGTGAAGTGATTGTCACCTTTCTGTGCCTCAGAGCCTCACCTATACAGTGGAGTTAACACATATTTACTTTATAGGGTTCTTGTGAAATTAATTATTTAATATATTGAACAGCCCTTAAAATAATGGCTGGCTCATCGTAAGTGCTCAAAAAATGTTAACTGCCATAGTTACTATCACTGTTTTATTACTATTCACAGAAAATTCCTATTCTATAAAAATGATCTTTACTTTCTTAAATATATTAAGGATTAAAAGAGAATCAAAGCACATTAAAGGCTTTACTTATATAATTACATTAATTACCCCTAATGAGATTGGTGCTCAGTGGTCACCAGTAAGAGAACAATAAAAAGGAATGTTGATTAGTTTTCCTAGTAGGCTTTTTGGTTTCTAAGACCAGAATGTTTATGTTATAACCATCTAAAATTCTGTGATACAAACTTTAGTGGGGCTGATTACAATTTCAGTATTAAAAATACCACAGTGTTTTATATTCTACATAGCCTATGAGAACTATCACAAAATACAGAATATTGGTTATAACAATGCAAAATGCTGCTTAAATTGTTTTCCAGTCACCTTTTTATATCCAGTATTTTTCTTCTCATACAGGAACTTCCTTCTCCACCCCACCATGTCAGACTTCTGGGAATGGGCATTTTCACATAGGAAAAGGACTTAATTTTATGCCTTGGTTTATGGTATCACTTTATCTTGATTTGTCCCTTCAAATGCATAAAAGCATTTTATGAATAATAATCAATGTCAGACAGTTGAAGATTCCAAAGAAAGACAGCCAAAGATATATGTATTTAGCTTAAATTGATGGAGACAAATTTGGAAGGAAGCAATTGGTTTGCAGACTGTCCTATATAATAAAAGCCTAATATGCTAAGTGTCTAGTTGTTCAGTCGGCCGTTCAATCAAAGCGTAATATGCTAATGATATGCTAAGGCCACTCAAACGCTCGCTATGACGTGCACTGACCACCAGGGGGCAGTCAGTCAACTGGTCAACCAGTCACTTTGCTGTGCACTGATCACTAGGGGGCATGTGCTCCGACCAGTAAGTTAGCTTGCTGCTGAGGGTACGGCCAATCGGGACTGAGTGAGATAGGCCTGACATGCCCTGGAGCCCTCCCGCAGTCCCTCCCCAGCTGGCCAACCTCCTGCACCCCTCCCTGGCCCTGATTGTGCACTGGTGGTGTCCCTCGGCGCCAGAAGGAAGCTGGGCTGGCAGCCGGGGGAAAGAAGGCCTACTCTTGCATGAATTTCATGCATCGGGCCTCTAGTCTATAATAATAAAAGCATAATATGCTAATTAGACTGAACATCCTTCCAGACGTCCTTCCAGATGACCTTCCAGATGAAGCTGGGGCTGCGAGGGAAGCCTTTGTCCCAGGTGCCAGAAGGAAGCTGGGCTGGCAGCCGGGGGAAAGAAGGCCTACTCTTGCATGAATTTCATGCATCGGGCCTCTAGTCTATAATAATAAAAGCATAATATGCTAATTAGACTGGACATTCTTCCGGACGACCTTCCGGACAAAGCCGGGGCTTCGAGGGAAGCCCAGGTCCCGGGTGCCTGCCGGCAGCCGAAGGGAAGTCCAGGTCCCGAGTGCCAGGGGGAAGCCAGTGCCAGCAGCTGGGGGAAGGAAGGCCTACTCTTGCACGAATTTTGTGCATTGGGCCTCTAGTAGATAATAAGTCAGAAGGATTTTTGTGACATTGAAGAGGGAGATTTCTCATAGTGGACAGAAATGGTGTGTCAGTTATGGCTAGTTGTTGTTTGTTAGAACACTAATTATCACCCGTAGAGCAGGTGCCATTGTTGGGCATCCAAATAAAGGCATTAGGTAACTTAATGAAATGACAATGGCTTTGTCAAAGCCTCCCAGACTTGTTAGCTCCTTGGTAAAAGTGAAGCTGTAACTTCCTAAAAATATGCCTCTGAGGTTGATGAAGCCTGTTTAAGATGATTAACCAAGATTTTTGTCAGGTAATTGATTTCCTACCCTACAGATATGGTATCACCTTGGAACATCTGTTTCCTTCCGTTGCTCTTTCCCTTCTCTTCACTCTCTAGAGGTATATTTTAAACAAGCAGATAAGAATAGAAAATAATATAGGAAACATTGGTGTACTTACCACCTAGTTTTATTTAAAACGTTCTGCCATATTTGCTCTAGATGATTTTAAAAAATGAATCATTACAGATATGGACAAGGCTCCTTATCTTCTCTCATTTCCGTTCTTACCTGTAAAGAGGTAATCATGAATTTGGTGCTTCTCTTTCTTATGAATGTTCTTATGCTTTTAGTACATATTTTTGCATTCATTGACATAAACATTATATAGTATTATTTTCATACTTGAAACTTTGTATAATTATCTTATATGTGTGTTATTTCACAACTGTTGTATTTTGACTAATTTTAAATTACATTAACTTTGTTACATGTAGTTTTATTCATTTATTTGTTCTGATTGGATGCTATTCCATTGTGAATTCTTACATTTATCCATTCTCCTGTTGGAGTTGTTTATGTTTTGCCAATTATTTCTAACTGTTAATAGTGCTGCAGTGAACATTTTTGTACATTTCTTCTCTGTGTTTGGAGAGTTTCAGGGTATGTACTTGAAGTGGAAATGCTGATTCAGTTTCCAAAGTGATACTGATTTCTGTCAGTTATGAGTGTTACCTTTCTCCACGTGCTCACCAACCCTTGATACTGTCCTCCTTAATTTTCTCATTCAGAGCAGGTGAAATGGTATTGTATTATGACATTCTAATTTGCATTTCCTAATAACGTGTGAGTTTAGGCATTTTTTATAACTTCATTAGCTAGTCAAGTTTTCCCTTCTATAATTTTCCTAATTGTATAATTTGAGCATATTTCAAAATAATTTTATTTTTATTCAATAAAGGTAGGCAAAATAGTTTTATTGAAACCAATCTGGAGTCTTGACAATTATCTTTAATGCATTTACTCAGAGAGTGTAATTTATAAACATCTCTGTGACAAGGAATGAACATAAGGGGACAGACACCACTGAACTAGTAAATGTATCCTAAAGCCTTTTATTTTTTTTCCTTGGATGGAAACCATGTCCAGGGAAGTGGGTGCTTTGCTTATTGCTTATTATCTGTCATTTCTCTATTTATTTGAATAAGGAAGGTGCTCATTTTATTTGCTGAAATTATGATTAGGCAACTAGAATGATCTAAAAGATCATGTGTACAGTTTGGTTTTTATAAGAGAGGGGAGCAGATTGGGATGGAGGGTGAGAGAATGGGTCACTAATACAAAGGTGGTTGTTGATTTTAAAGACATATGTCCAGGTGCAATGAATTACTAGTATGTGCCTATGCCTAAAATGGTGAGAATAAATATTATTTGCTTGGAAAATTCCTCCTGTAATTTCTAGTCCTTAGTATAGTAAAATATTTATTTCTATTAGTGTTGAGAATACTTTGTCTCATTTGTATCTCTAAAATTCTGTGAGCAGAAAATTTTTAGTATCTCAGACAAAGTATCACTTAGAATCCTATATAATAAAAGGCTAATATGCAAATCAATCGAACAGCAGAACAACTGGTCACTATGACGTGCACTGACCACCAGGGGGCAGATGCTCAATGCAGGAGCTGCCCCCTGGTGGTCAATGCACTCACTCAGGGGGAGCGCCGCTCAGCCAGAAGCCCAGCTCACGGCTGGCAAACACAGCTGCGGTGGCAGGAACCTCTCCCGCCTCTGCGGCAGTAAGACATCCCCCAAGGGCTCCCGGACTACAAGAGGGTGCAGGCCGGGCTGAGCCCCCCGCCCTCCCGAGTGCATGAATTTCATTCACCGGGCCTCTAGTCTGTTTATTAAAAAATGATTAAACCAGGGAATTATTTACCTGAGAAATAGGAATTTCCCCCAAGCACTTAGTTCTCTTTTTCTAAATCAGATTCCCTGTTAGTGTGTAAATGTTGGTGGGACTAAAAATATTTGTTGTCTGATTTGGTTGATTGAGTGCATGGTGAACCCGATGCTCTGTTTTCATTTTTATTTACTGAGGTCAGAGCTGTCTAATTACATTGTCCAATAATATATGAACTGCTGACTTGTTCACTTAATGTCTTGTCCATTCAATGTGACCCAGATGTCCTGAGCTGTCCCACTGGCTCTAGGCCAGGAAAAATGCTGGTTCGCTGTTATTCGCTGGGGGCCCAACATCCCTTTGCTACAGGCAGTGTCTGTGTGCGCTCTCTCCTTGACCTCTTTACGTCGCCATGTAACCTCCAGTTTGTGCTATTCCATTATATAAAATTAACATATTCATTTCAGTGTCCTGACTATGGTGGTATCGTTTGCTATATAAGTTAATAAAACCTCTGTAGGTCCTGGGTTTTTAAATCTTGACTCCCTGAAACATTGTTTTAAAATGAACTATTTCATGTGTATTTTGGCTACCCACATCACCAGGCTGAAAAATCTTATCTGTATTGTCTGCCGTTTTCTTGCTGTCCCCTTTCTGTAGGACTTCTGTAATGCTGTCTCCCTTCTGGAAGACTTTGACAACATAATGGTAACACCCCTGCTGTCATCTCTTTTCTTTCTTTCTTTTTTTTAAGTAAACGTTTATAGCATTACTCTGTGAACATCAAAATGAGAAGCGGGTTGTTCTTCTATAGCTGGTAATAACTGTAGTCTTCATTTCACTGTTACTCCCTCGGTTTATGTTTGAGACGGGAACACAAACTCATGAATGTGCTGACCATGTCCAATCTAATGGCATTTATTTCGGAAAGTTTTCCCCTTTGCTTGCCTCATGGTTTTCATCATATATGTGTATGGTATAGGAACAGTGGATGTTCATGCCTTGGCTTGGGAGCATAGACCAGTTTGTGCACCTGCATCTCAGTTCCAATTTTGAACACGTCTATTCCCGAGCTCTTGCACTCTCTGTGGTTAACTCACATCAGTAGCAGAGGAACGCATGGCATGCTAACTCATAGGCCAGTGCAAGACAATGAAAACTGTGGTTATGAAACATACCTTTCTCATCACATCTCACTCACTGGCTATTCCAAAATTTTCAACAGAACACATCATTTCTATTTCCTTTCCAGTATGGAGGATATGTCTTTTCAAGCATAGATCTTGTGCATGCATGTCATATGATTTCACCTTTGCTGCTTTGCCTGGGCTAGCTAAGAATGCATGTTTTGCATTAAATTACTTATAGGTTTCTGTATCAGGTAGCCAACTTACAACATAAATCCAAGAAGCATTAGAATAAAAAAGAGCACACATCTCAGATGTGAATGTAAGTTAACTTGTTTCACTGCCAATTTAATGGGTAACATTTTCTATACATTGGTGAAAATATCCTTAACTGCACAGTCAAACTCTGAAAATATTCCTGTTATTAAATACTTGTTATGTAGGCAGTTTTTTTAAGTTATTTCTGCAAAGGAAAGTTTGGACTTTTCTGAAAATCAGTTTTCCTATCAATTTTTTGACATTGCGTTGTACAGAGAGCAAGTGAAGGTTTTATTTCAAAACTTGAAATAAAAATGTATCAAATTTAAAACTTTTGGAGGTTGGTTATTGTTCAGATGCTAATATAATTCAGTTAGAAAACAATTTGTATCAGTCATTGATTTTACTTTAAAGAAAGAATTAGACAAAATATTTTGTCATGTATTTAAAGTCAAAAGGGTTTATTATTTTTATATTCATTCAAATTAATAGAAATATGTGCATATATCTTTGTTTTCCTTTTCACTATTCTTATTTTCCTAAAATATTCTCCAGTATTAGAAATTTAATGAATGTATATACTCTCCCAGTCATTATATTCATTATTTATGGACATGCTAATAGAATATATTGTAAAACTTTATTATTGTATGGAGTGTCCTTATTTTAGAATGAATCCATTTGTTCTAGCAATTAATCTTACTATTAATTGATTCTTAACCAATTTATGTTTGATGTGAAAGCTTCATATGAGAATCAAGCATAACTGTCAACAGGATCTTTGTAGTTATAGAATTTTCTCTATTATCTGAAATCAAAATACACCAGTATGTGGTGAAGACCATAACCTCTGGTTCACACCATGTGTTTTAGTCTTGAGCACTGTTACTCAGTACCTGCCAAGCTAATAACACAAACAAAACCCTTTTTGGTAGATGACTCATAAAACATTAACCACTGGTTTTCATTAGATTACTTTTATTATTATTCCTAAATCAGCATTTTTAAAAACAAAGTCACAAAATCTGGTTTTTTAGGTACAACTCCCTACTTGCAACCCTGAGACATTATTGGGAAAAAAATCATTACATTACTAGTGAGTAGAGTGGATAGGACATTCCTGGTCCTGTAATGCTGCTGCTTATAATGCTGACTGCCTGCTAGCGGGCTGTATGACCAGTTCTCCTTTGGGAACAGAGCTTCACATTTGCTCAGTTGACTGAGGGGGCGATTGCTAATGAAGAGAACAGGGCTCCAAAGGATGAAAATTATGTATGAGCATCAATTTTAATTTACTAGATGCATTGACTTCAAATTATACAAAAGGCCTTTGAGTCAACATCTCTTTGAGCTCAGACACTTCTCTTGTCTAATGAAAAATAAAGCAGTAAAGAAAATTGTTCTTATAACGGTCAGAAAAATGAATCTATATTGAACAGTACAGCCTTTTTATTTATTTATTTTTTGAATTGATTTCAGAGAGAAAGGGATAGAAACATCAGTGATGAGAGAATCATTGATTGGCTGCCTCCTGCACACCCCCCACTGGGGATTGAGCCCCCAACCCGGCATGTGCCCTGACTGGGAATCAAACCATGACCTCCTGGTTCATGGGTCGATGTTTAACCACTGAGCCATGCCGGCTGGGCAGCACTGCTTTTTTTTTTAGAAGATTTTTGAAAATGGAAAATTTTAAAAATATAATGGTTTTATATTTCTCACATAGAAGCAAGCCCAAAGCAAAGTACATGAAAGCAAACTGGAGAGAATATGTGTAGGAATTTACCTCAGGTGGCTATATAGATATAGGTTGGTGTAATATTCAGAATTTCCCAGTTAGCTGAGCCTTATTCTCTTAGCACAAGGAAGCCAGGTGCCTGAGGATGGGAGCTGGAGCCAGGGCACAAAAGTGTATGTTTTCTCTTTCGGTAATATGCTCAAAGTCATATGGCACCCGGCTGAATACACACATTTCATCAAAAAACAGCTTCCTGAACTATCCTTTGTACCCATAAAAATACGAAGTTATTGTTGCCTCTGATCACTTCAGTTAAACAGAATAAATCAAGACGGGGAAATTGAAATCCACATATTAATGCAGGTAGAAGGAAGAAATGATTAGAATAATAGATGCTAAAGAGTAAATTTAAAATGAGTTTTCAAAACAAAAGATGGTACTGAAAAATAGGGGGCAGTTGAAAAGTACTTGGTAAACTAACTTGTGCTTAAGTAAAAATAAAATAAAGCTTAGAAAGTTTTCTGAAAAGAACAGATGCATGAAACACGAATTACGTATAACTAAGTTGACCATGTGTCCCATTTTGCCAGGCATGGTCCCACTTAGTACCTGGTGTCTGGCCTGCCCTGGGTGATTAGTCCCTTCTTGAATAAATGCAATAAACCATCCCCACCAACATTAAAAACCTTGTACTAAATCTTAATCTGTAGTTGCCTTGCTTGTTCTCACAATATGATCCTCCATGAGCATTTGTAAAATCTTCCAAGTGACTAAAGAACTTGTCTTATTCTTTCTTTCCCCAACAAATTGAAATATTTCTATAAATTGAAAGGATGCATTCCTGGCATTATTCTGGGGGGGAAAACAACGGTTGGAGGCCATTTCAGTTTGGTGGAAGAGAATGGGGTATTTTTCAAAATAATTCAGGGCAAAACAGGATAATAAAGCTATTTGCAGAGCACCTGGAGAATGCTAGCCAGTTTGAAGTGTCTATGATTTCCTCGGGGAGTATATGCATATCAGAATTATTTCCTACTGTGCCGAAGTAGGTGATGGGAGGGAACAGAATATGTTCACTAATAAATAGCTGACCTTTAAACAAAATTGGTTGACTGAAAATGCATGAATTTTAGAATATAAAAATTGATTTGAAATTTTTGGTCCTTTTCTCCTTGCTTGAAGTTTTAGTGCTTTTTCCTTAAATGTTAATTTAGTGATTTTTAATGTAGAATAGTTTATTATTTTTATTTTTAATCTCCACAATATCAACTGTCATTTGTCAGTAAGAGTGTAGTCAGTAATTCAGATACTTACCTTATCAGTAGTCTAGTTTCCCTCACATGGAAATTATTGGTTGTTCTGTAAGTTTTTCAGAAAGCAAAGAGTAAAGAGTTAGATCCGGTGTAGGAATCAGCATGCAGATGTCACAGACAGGTCTGCTTCCCTTCGTACCAAACACAGCCTGGGTATTGTAGACTACACATGGATCTCCAGATTATAACTCACAAATAAGTAATTCATTTTTCTTCATTTCTGTAAAAATATTAAAATATAAATATATATATATACCCACAAAGAAGCACAACAATATGTTTCAGGGACCTCACATGACACTGTCAGGGAGCACTGATTTGATGAGTGGCATTTAAAGATCTGGTTGATTTAATGGGAATAGTGCTTGGAAAATCAAATGCTGTTGGGATACTTGGGGGCAATAGCTGTGGGCTCCCAATGGCCACACTGCCATGCATGGTTCTCATAGAGGGACTTGGGACAAGCATTTAGAGATATAATCACACTTAGATTAATCAGCTAAAGGCTGAGGGCATCTTTATGGTACCCTCTTTTGGAAAGTGAGATTCTTGTTGAATATATGCAGATATTACAGTAGAGACTCTCAGAAACACATGTTTGGTCTGCATATGGGTGGGTAGTCACCTGAAAGAGGCTGAAACTCTTAAGGGCCCCAAGTAATTTCATGTCAGGGTCAGAGAAAGAGCTTTACTGTCTGGTATATACATTTAATTTCAATATTTCTAATAAGTCTCAATAGAGATTCTCCTTTTGGTTATTTTTGGGTGAGCTTAAGAGGCTATATGTCCCTAAATAATAAGCACCAAATGAGGTTTTAAATATTTGCAACCTTAATATCACATATAGAAGCATCTCATCCTAATGGAAGAGCCCTGAACTTTGGAGTCAGACTCACCTGAGCTCAGACAATGGCTGGGCCAGGTCTGGTTGGGTGAATCACTGAGCAGTGTAAGCCCCTTGCCCGCAGCTTTTCCTCACTGAAGACAGGGGGTGAGGCTCCCTCCCTGCAGAGTCCCTGCCGGAAAGTGAGAATAAGAGCAAGAAGCCTGTCCCTGGCATATTATAGATGTTTAATCAGTCTCAAGCTAAGTGTTTATCCCTTTTTCCCTGTTAGAAATATCTATACTACTTTCTAAGAACATGAAAATCTTTTATATAACTGTTATTTAGCACTTTTAAAAAGTGAGGACATCTATTATATAAAAGTTAGTAAAATATCCTAGGATAAACCCATTCTCTATAATTAGTAAGTCCTGAAAAGACATAGGGATGGTGGGAAGTTAGACCTCTTCCTGTGGTTATTACAGCAGCTTCCATGAAGTAGCATCTGACGCCAAACATAAAATAATACTGCTTTTCTAAATATATTTATTTTCCTAAGGCCAAATTGTATTAAATGAGAACTGTTGAATGATGTTCATTGGTTTTATTTTATATTGTAATTGGTTAGAATTGTATTTGCTGTTAATTTATACATTTTTATTGATTGTATTTTAATTGATTATTGGAGTCAGAGGAAATACCAAATTCATCCATTGAATTCATGGCTAAATAGGCATATTTTAGGCCACTGGAAAGAAGCTATCAACAAGTTATGAAATTTGTATATGGCATTTGCTTTCACCACATGTGCTCTTTTCGTTATGGGCACAGGGTTTCTGATCTTACAGTTAGGGCTTCCTGACTCTCATGCAGCAGGGCCGTGTCCTGGGTACACAGGAGCCCTGCCATGAGCCTCTCGGATGAGCTGACCATTAATTGTGGTGGCTCATATTTACATCTGTGCTCTACTTTTGAGGGCAAATGTAGTCTGCTTTGGAAAACATAGTAAGTTCAGCAATCTCTACACACATAGGAAAGAGGTGAGAAATCAGATTTTCTGCAGTTTGGAAATCTGCAAGTTCTGTTTTCACATAATGACATTTGGTGTCATGGGTTGTTGGGGTTGTTAAGCAGGAGCTCAAATCAAGCCCTTGCTATTATGATCAAGAGTTCTTCTTGGCTTTGTTTTCCAGGGCCAGCCAGGGGACCAGGCTGCTCTCTTTGCTGCACAAGCACGGCCCTCCCCTCAGCTCCCCCAGTATCCAGGGCTGCAGCAAGCACAGGTACCCACAGTGGCTTCATAGATGCTATGGGGATTTTTTTTTTAACCAAAAAAGTGGGGATTTTTAATCTCTTTATTTGAAGTAGGAAACCGAGTGAATAGGGTGTCAACTGCTTTATGGGTCTAGAACAGTGATGGCGAACCTTTTGAGCTCGGCGTGTCAGCATTTTGAAAAACCCTAACTTAACTCTGGTGCCGTGTCACATATAGAAATTTTTTGATATTTGCAACCATAGTAAGACAAAGACTTACATTTTTGATATTTATTTTATATATTTAAATGCCATTTAACAAAGAAAAATCAACCAAAAAAATGAGTTTGCGTGTCACCTCTGATACGCGTGTCATAGGTTCGCCATCACTGGTCTAGAACTTAGTTACTCCTGCATTACCAGTGATTGTTGAACAAGTGTCAGGATTAATTAATTTAAAGAACACATTTTAGGAAATTCTTTAATTGAAAACATAAATTCAAACCTCTATTAATGATTTTTGTAGGTATTTAAATGCTTAACAGTCCCAAAATACTTATGTTATAATACAAAATGATGTCATTCATGCTTGAATTTGTCACATTAAAAGATAGTTTCAAAGAGTACAATAAGAAGGGAATTGGCCTTGGCATCAGACCTTGGCAACATTCTTGGCAACTTGCTAGCTGTGGAACAATGTGCAAGTTACTCTCAGTCTTGGTTCCCTTCTCTGTAAAAGAGAGAGCACACTGGGTATTTAGGGCAGCCTGAGGAACTGCCGTGCTGCACCCAGTTCACAGCAGCCGCTCAACAAGTGGTAGGCTTGCCTTCATATAATGTGAATCTGGAGCTGTTTTTCTAATAATTTTGTTTTTTCTGCATCCATGTACTTTTACCCTGTCGCTCCCATAATCAGGAGCTGGGATGTTGGTAAGACAGCTAGTTGGGGCTAGCAGCACATACTTTGTCCACAGCTCAAAGGAGAGCGAGGTTGGCCTGCGCAGGCACGGAACCCTACAGGCTGGTTCCATTCATGCTGCCTGCTGGAAGTTCATTACACATTTTTCTGTCTTCCAAGCCAGTGCCATTACACTACCTTAAAATATGGTACTTTCAGGATTTGAACAGCAGTCCTCTTCTACTCTAGTCAGCATTCTATTCTATAAAGTATAGTGATCTAGTGAACCTCAGGTTTTTCATTTACATTAGATGTCAAATTTAGAGAAACAGTCATGTGTATGCTAATATTGCATAGAAAAATGAAGTATTCAGATGACTGGTACAGTGCAGAACTGGGCTTCAGTCCAGCCAGGACTAGAGGGTAGTGAATAGTCATCTATTACATCCTTACTCTGGTAAGATATTAATGTTGTTGTTTTTTATAACAGGTTAGTTACTCCAGGCACATTCATCAGATTTAGGGAAGTCACATATTAGGAAAGTGTACACCATTATTTTAATATACATGAGCATGGGGCAGCTCTTCTGAGTAAGTTTAGAAGTGGCATTATTGATGCTTGGGTCTGTTGAGCACTGATGTCATCTGTGCATAAGAGGAATGGATGCTTGTCTATAAGGAAACATGCACTTTCTCCTTCAGAATAAGCAAGCAACTGATATTAAAACTAATCTCTTAACCACATGAGGATTCTTATTTTTTTAATTGTATTTTCTGGTAAATCATTATGTAACCAGTTCATTCTGTAGCTTTCTGATTAGCCTCTCTGCCTTCATGGCATCTCTTTCATACTTTGAGTCATAAAAACATTTGAGAATAGTGAATTTCAGGGGGCTTCTCCTGGGTTTACCCCTATATAGCTTAGCAATAGGAAAGCTGGTGGTAAATAAAAACACTGACTTTGTTCCTTGTGCCTACCTGCAGGCCATGCCCCAAGGCTATACTATGTATGGAACACAGATGCCTTTGCAGCAGACCCCGCAGCAGCAGGCTGGCAGTGTGGTCCTGTCCCCCAGCTATAACTCCAGAACCTACCCGGTTGCTCATTCCAACCCTACGCTGATGGAAAGACTCAGACAGATGCAGCAGCCGCCCAGTGGCTATATTCAGCAACAGGCCTCGCAGTACCTGCAGCCTCTGACTGGCTCCCAGAGGTAACATATCTAGAAACAATGATTGCAGTAGTGGACACGGCTCTTTGTTATGTTTCTTCTAGAGCATGGCACTTATATTGTTTTTGTGAACTTGCATATTTATATATAATTTAAATTATGTCATCTTATTTTTAGGAGCACCCAGAGATTCAAAATAAGTAATGGCCCATCTTGTTTATTTTATTAAAGGCTCCTATATTTTGATTCATATCTTCCATAGAATGGGTGTAATATATTTAGATGAAACCACTACATTTAGAATATACCATTATATTTAGATGGGTGTAATATATTTAGATGATACCACTATATTAGTTCTAGTGTTCTTTCTTTTCCCTTCTTTTAAAAAAGGTCTTTTTGGCTAAAAATATCTAAGTTAAAAAAATGTTGATTAATGTTAGCAGTGCCTTACTAGAATGTCTTGAACAGAGCCATAAAGTCTGTGATTACAATACTCATTGTACCTGGTGCCTACAAGACTTTTCTTAGATTTTAATTTTTACCTTTTCCACGTCAGGGATGGTTGGCAAAGCAGGGTCATGAAAGACCTCTTCTCAGTTCTTGCTTAATCAGATCCCTTAGATATAGTATGTAACTTCATTGTCCATTAGAGTAGCCAGCAGCCACATATGGCTATTTCAATTTAAACAAATTAAAGTTCAATTTAAAACTTAGTCCCTCAGTTACACTAGTCACACTTGAAGTGGTCAGTAGCCACGTGTAGCCAGCAGGGCCAGCATCCAAGATGTGTGACCAGTACAGTCACACCGGTGACTGTGTTTAGAGGACCCACATTTGATGCAATACTCTACTGTCACCTTCTTGAAATTCTAATTTTTGTCTTTTTTTTTAAAATATAGGTCAGTAGCCACGTGTAGCCAGCAGGGCCAGCATCCAAGATGTGTGACCAGTACAGTCACACCGGTGACTGTGTTTAGAAGACCCACATTTGATGCAATACTCTACTGTCACCTTCTTGAAATTCTAATTTTTGATCAGGAAACCTTGCAGTTTATTTTGCACCGAGGCTCAAAAATTATGTAACTAGTTTTGGTGGCCAGCGCAGATATAGAATATTTCAGTCATCATACAACGTTCTAGGGATGGCATTAATCTAGAAGAATTAAGGTTCACGCATAATTTTGTGCGACGGTAGATAGTAGCCTAGCTTCATGTATTATCAATGTTGCACGCTAACCCTAAGTAATCACTATTTGGAAAGTGGGCAAGGTTGATGGTAGCACATTTGGGAAGATAAAAAAAAAAAATTGGAAAACAATTTTAATAAGTGGCATCATTGCACATTGCCCAAGAATTTGAACTTTAAAGCCCCAAAGTTCTGGGTTTAAATCCCACCTGTACCATTTTCTATCTGGATTACTTTGGTATGTTACTTCTCTAGCTCTCTGTTTATTCACTTTTAAAGGGGAGATAACAAAACTACTGACCTCAGAGGGCCGCTGTGAAGAGTCAATGAAATAACACCGTTCAGACTTTTACCACAGTGCCTACTCCAGAATAAATGCTCAGTTAATGTCACTTGTTACTGAAAACTATTAACAATTTTTAATCATGCATGTTCTTTTTCAAGTGATCCCATCTACCCCTGGGGATCCAGATTATCGTAACCACTGACCTTTACTGAATTTGAATTGTACAAGTAATTATTGAACACAGCCGTTTCTCTGTGAATGTGTGTGATGTGCTTGCTAGCAGTGCCCATTAAAAATGTGGCAGTGTGCTTGGGCCTGAAACCAGCTGTGTGTTCTTTCCAGACTGAATCATCAGTCCCTTCAGCAGAGCCCTCTGATGGGTGGAGGAGTCGATGCAGTGCTGACTCCCACACATCTGAACCTGCCGTCTGTGCCGCTGCCTCAGGACCCTATGCGGCCCAGACAGCCGCAGGTGCGACAGCAGCAGAGGCTCCTCCAGGTATGGGGCTGGGAGGTGAGGTCAGTACCTGGCGGGTCCTTAGCAGTTACGAGGAATAACAGGCACTTCAGACTTTAATTGCCAAGTTCCAAGGAACACTGTGTATTTGACAGCAGGACTAAAGCGGTATAATTTAGTTTCAACTTGACCAGAGTCTTCCTATGTGAATATGCCAGGTCACAGCAGGAGCGTACATTTTGCAGAGCATCCTTCCCCTTTCACTAAGTTTCAAGGTAGCCGATGCCTTTATATTGGTAGGGTGAGCCTCAGCTTACTCAGTCATTTAATTAGAGGCTATGCAAAATGAATGCAAAATTCCTTATATGTATTTTTTAAAGCTGTCTAGAGCTTTTATCATATTTCTAGAGGGGTCTGTAATCCAAAAAAATTTCTATAGTACCTCTGGTCTAATTGGACTATGAAGTTGGCATTAAATAAGTAGACTATTTCAAAGAAATATTTCATCTTGACTGTTAGAATCCAGAGAGCTATCCTTTAATTATTTGAAATTAATTTTAGGTCTTCTAGATAAAGGGTTCCTCCCCTTGACACATTTTTGCTTTTAACTTCCTCGTTTATGAAATATAGGCATTATGTTCACCTGTTCCATTGGTCTTCCTTATGTGTGAGTCTGTCCTTGTTGGGTTGGAGATTGCCTGGTGAGTCTGTACAGTGCCCTCCCATCTTACCAGCAGTCCAGCTTGAGATGCTCAGTTATTTTATGTTTTACTAAGAAAGAAAAGCACCAAAACACAGGACTCTAGTTCCCTGGTGAACGGTCAGTGAGGAATAAACCTGCCCGCAGGAGGGACAGGAACAGAACTTGATGTCTCAACCAAGGACTGGTGCTTATATTCCCTCTGTTTCAAAGTTTCACAGTTTCAAATCACTGAGGAAAGTTATTACATTTATTTCTTTAGTTATTACCTTCTGTCTTACATTGGTGTTTTTTTTAAGGCTGCAAATCTGGAAAAGTTAATATTCCCTTTTTACCCCAATTAGCATACTATGTCCCTCTGGTAATTTTTTGCCTTAACAACACATTCCCTAGAGAAAAAGAGAAGTGATTTGTTTTTGCATCAGGATGACGATTATTTCTTTTCTGGTGATGAAGTTGGGTTCATTTGTCTTGGCAGAGTTCACAGAGTCAGTGGAAAACTGCTTCCCTATTGTAAGCATTGTTCACACTGGGGAAACCCGTCCAGATCTCTGCTTGGATTCCACATCCATGTGCATTGTCACTTAGAAGTGCCAACAGGCAGTAGCTATTTATTGCATTGCCCTAAAGAAGAAAAAATAAATTGGAGGATAGTATACACACCGAGTTGGAAAATGCAAAGGATGAAAAGAAGTCTGGCGGTGTCCTCATCAAAATGAATGTTTGGGTGGAGGAAACTGAAGGTCCTTGAGACAGACCATCTGCTAGGATTTTCCTCTCATTCTCTGTGTTTCCTCTGTGACTTGGAAGTGTTTCCAAGAGTTCTGTATTTCTGCCAACTGTCACAGACACAATTTATGATTTTATTCTTGTAATTTATGCCAGAGCTTCCCATATCTACAATTACTTTAAAAACAAACAAACTAATCTTCTGGAGTTCTTTAAGAACAACTCCTTTGTTTCCTCCTCCTTATCTATCTTTATTTTCATCTTCCTTTAAAAAGAAAGAAAGGAAACACCACAAATGAATCTTCTAGTTCATCCAGATGTCACAGGGAATGAAAAGATAACTACGAGCACTCCTTGTCTAACGTGGTAGTATAAGAAGGATAAGATATATGGAAGGCAGACAACATGAAAGGAGTTGACAGTGAGTTTAGAGCATGTACTGGGACAACGCAGGACAGGATAGACAGAGAACGCTGTGACTACTGAAGGGTGAGGTCCAAGAGGGCTTCATGGAGGAGGAGATTTAGGTCTTTCCCTTGAAAGATGAGCAGTTTGGCAAGGCTGCTATGGAAGAAGCTGGTGTGTATTATTTTGCCGCAACAACATAATTAAATAAAAGGCATATGGGAAGAGAAGACTGGAATATTAACCCCTCTGTTTAGTATAAAATCCTTTTTCTTTCTAGATGCAGCAGTCCCAGCAGCCCCCGCAGCCCCAGCCGTCCTCGCAGCCCCAGAGCCAGCCCCTCAGTCTGCAGACCGTGCAGCCCCAGCAGCCATTGGTAAGGCCTGGTGCTTCCAAATCAAACATGGGGGCATTTTCCTTAAAGTCTGTTTGCATTTTTCATGTCCCATAATAGTGTTAACAATTAAAATAGCCTAAATATATTCTAGCAATTTCCCCAGAACTTTATCAGAGTAGGATGATATTGATGTTGTAGTTGATGTATTAGTTTTCATAGAAAGATACAAATAAATATTTGGGGTTTAGTAGATCATACTATTTTTCCTTTTCAAGTTTTTCCAGACATCTCTATGAACTAAAATATTTATATTCAGACACAAAAATATTTTTATAACTTACTATATATATAGTTCAGAAGATTATCTTCCTGTGAATTTTTACTATAATTTCAAAAAAGCATGAGAGTGCTTTCTGAAATATTATCTTTACTGATGTAAAAAAAAAATACTGATTTCAGCAGTTAGCATTTGCTGCAGGAATTTTCAAGTAATTCATAATTGTTTACTTCTCTGGCTTTGTGAACCGAACTTTGAAATGTTATGTGCATCAGTGAACATTTGCAAACCTCAGAACTTACAGCAGCCTTTACTTTTGCAAGTGCTGTAGCCCTGCTTTATTTTGACTTAACCTTTTTCTTTAAATTGCCTCTTTTTCTGTTTACCTAAATGTATTCTAAAAAGGATCATTTTCTCACTGCCATCAGTGGTCACATCACTTGCTACATATTGGAAATACCTGTAAAATAGATACTTACTCTGCAGGTAATTCAGCAATGTGAGCTGTGTGCGTGAGTACTACCTAGACCAGTGATGGCGAACCTTTTGAGCTCAGCGTGTCAGCATTTTGAAAAACCCTAACTTAACTCTGGTGCCGTGTCACATATAGAAATTTTTTGATATTTGCAACCATAGTAAGACAAAGACTTATATTTTTGATATTTATTTTATATATTTAAATGCCATTTAACAAAGAAAAATCAACCAAAAAAATGAGTTTGCGTGTCACCTCTGACACGCGTGTCATAGGTTCGCCATCACTGACCTAGACAGAGGGAGCTGGCTGCTGCCCATTTTACACTTTGGAAAACTGGTGTCTCTTTTCAAGACAGAATTTGAATGTGGATGGTTTCATAACTTGTAGTAAAGAAGGAACAATATGGCCGGGACTAGAGTACATTAGGAGGTATCAGAGTAGAGTTAGGGGAGATAGGTCTGATATACGCGAGTAGGGCTGCTAAGGGAACATGGTCAGCTGGACTAAGACATTCTGTGGACATTTGACTAGCCCCTGCTTTGCTCAGTTTGATCTCCATTTAAAAAGAAATTATCTTTATTGTTGAAAATATTACAGATGTCCCTTTTTTCCCCTCATTGACCCCTCCATCCTGTTCCTACCCCACACCCCAGGCCTTCATCACACTATTGTCTGTGTCCATGGGTTATAGACATCTACACTAATAAAAGAGAAACATGGTAATTAGCGTACGACCGCTACCCTTTTCATTGGCTAATCAGTGAGCATATGCAAATTAACTGTCAGCCAAGATGGCGGCCGGCAGCCAGGCA